TGGGATCACACTTTTTTTGTTCCGAATCTTTTTTTCTCCCCCCCCCCCCCCCATTCTGCATGGCATACTGAGACTGTGGCTTAGTGGTGGAGCATCCGTTTGGTATGCAGAAGGTCCCCGGTTAGAAGGATCTGGTAGTAGGTGGTGAGAAAAGAGCTCTGCGTGAGACCCTGGAGAGCCACTGCCAGTCCGAGTAGACAGGACTCTCTGTGATGGACCCCAGGTCTGGTTCAGTAGAAGGCAGCTTCATGGGTGTTCCACAGCTGTAGGGGGCATGCAGCAGAACCAAAGAGTGAGCAGGACTGATCTTGGTGTTGAACAAGGAAAGTATTTAGATTTCCCCTTTGCGTACAACCCCAAAAGGATAAAGCATCTTTGGGGGGTTAGCTGTAATATGGGGACAGCCTGGAGTCCGTGACAGATACAGGACTTTAATACACCCACATATCCACTGGACATCAGAGACATGGATTTGAGCTTCCGTTTACCTGCATTTGAGACCTGGGTTGAACTTACTCTTCTCCCCGAGCTTTCCAGAGGGTCTAACTGCATGTTTTTGTCAGGCTTCAGCTGTGAGTTCCTTGTCAGATTGGGACCGTGGCTTGCAGGACAAAGGTGCTCCTGTCTTCCCTCTCTGCCATTTTCCTCATCCAAAACAATCCAGGGGTCATTTTATGCCCCATCGGTACGGCCCAAGGGGAGGGCAGAAAGCTTTTCTCGAAGCAATTCTCAGTCCAAACTGGGACCCTGCACAACTGGTCATTCAGTTCCCAGTAGGGGCCTTGCCTCTGATATCTGACTGTGGACAGATATACGTAAAATGTAACACGTGGTTAAGTTCCATTAGATGATCCTTCAAGTCCAAAGTGTCTCCCTCCTCCCCACTTCAGAATCTGGAAACAACTCTTGCCTAAGTTTACCCCCGTTTTTGTCTGCCTTGACTTGTTTTTGTCTTCTAGCACGTGTGGAGCGAGAGCGAGGACTGCCTGCCTTTCTTGCAGTTGGCGCAGGACTACATCTCCTCCTGTGGTAAAAAGACCCTCCACGAAATACTGGAAAAAGTCTTCAAATCATTCAGACCTGTGAGTGATCCTTTGCCTTAAGCATGTCAGCAGTTCAGGTCTAGCTTTCCAGACAGCCAGAATGCTTTCATTATGACTTCTCAGGAAGGCTATTTTATCTTTTAAAAGTATGTTAGAGGGCTTAGTTCATGTAGATGGCTTTGCTTCCCCCGCCTCCCATGTCTATTTTCTAAACCGATATTCCCAGCTGGGACAGGAGACAAACCAAAATGGTTCTCCACCCATAAGAGGAATGATGTGGTAGCTGATTTTTTTTCTTTCTTTAATGCTGCAGAGAGTTTGGCCATGTAGGAACCGTTGTGGTGGAGTCACTTCCTGGCACAGCTATTGTGGAATTTCACATATTGCTGTGTAGAGAGAGATGAGGTTATACTGGGAGAGAAGGAATGTGAAACAAGAGTGGTTATTTTTTTCCCTAGTCCTCGAGATGTAGGCCCATAATCGGTTCAATGTAACTGGGAAAGCATGACTGCCATTACCCCTCTTGCACAGTTCTGATCATGCGGGAGGGCTGGTGGTGTGATTACTTTCTAGATTGGTGGCCTCCCCACCGAGGGAGAGGCATCCCGCCAAGGGATGTTGTCTGCCCCCTGCCATGTGATTGTTCCTTTCATATTGGTTTCAGAGCAATGTGGCATGCAAGTACGGAGAACTGAAAATCACACTACTCTATAAGAAATTGCTCCAAATGCTCACTTTGCAGGTATGGCTCGACTCCAGGGAATCATCCCTGAGGTCAAGGGGGCCTTACAAGTCAAAGGGGCGAAATGTGACAGATGATGCAGCTCTTGTCACTTTCACGTTAAGCACCGGAAAATTTAGGAATCACTGCTAAGGTCTATCAATTTTTTTAATTATCTATGTGAACCATTATAGCTGTTAGCTAATACCCGGCTGTCGAGGCAGCTTACAGGAAAAACTTCAAAACATACCACAGTTAAAATACAGAGAAGCACAAAATTGAAAGAATCAGCAAAAACTCATTCAAAATGCATCTGTATAACCGCCAGAACATACCTGGGGGGGAAAGGGTAAGTCTTGACCTGGCACTGAAATCTCAGAGACAAGCAAATGGATATGGGGGGGAAGGCCGTCCACAACTGGGGCACCACAGCTGCAAAGGGCCGTTGCTTCTTGGCCACCCACTTAACTTCAGCAGGTGGAGGAACACAGAAATGGGACTCAAAAGAAAAAGACTTTAGCTGGTGGGAAGAGATTTAGAAGCCGTCTCCCATTCCTGGAGGAATTGTATAGTTCTCGATGTTTGAAAAAAGCAAAGAACATTTTGCAGGATTTGTCACATCCTGAACATTTTCTGTTTGAACTGCTGCCTTCGGGCAGAAGATATAGGACAATTAAAGCAAGGACAAATAGATTAAAAATAGTTTTTATTCGAGAGCTATTATTGCCTTAAATGCAGTATGAAATTGGAATTTGGGTGACATTGGTGGTTTAAGTTGCTATGTGAACCATAAGGGAGTTATGGGTCAGTTGTGAATGGTGTGTGAGTGTATATGAATATTGTTGTAGATCACCGAAATGATTGCATCTTTAATTTCGTTGTACTATGTACAATGACAATAAAGTATATTATTATTATTATATTATTATTATTAGATGGTCTTGAATTGCCTGGCACTTCCTTATACTTGGAGATATCCTGATTAGAATAGTGGGCCTGGTTTCCATGTAAATATGTAGACTGTATCATTACCATTTTATTATTATTATTTCATTCAGTTTGTATCCCGCTCACCCCCTTAGGGCTCTGAGCGGCTTACATGTTTTTTAGCATCTTTTAGTACTATGTACTAAACTGTATAATATCAGTTCTTATGTTAATACTCCATGTCCTTAATTATGTGATGTTATACCATTTGGGGAGCTGCAATGGCTCGGAGGTTAAGATGCTGAGCTGCAGACCGGAAGGTATGTAGTTTGGCAGTTCAAGACCTGAGTGCCACATGACGGAGTGAGCTCCCATCTCTGGCCCCAGCTCCTGCCAACCTAGCAGTTTGAAAGCAAGAAATTGCAAGTAGATAAATAGCTACAGCTTCAGGTGGGAAGGTAACAGCGTTCTGTGCGCTTCGGTTACCTTTACCTCTATACCATTTGGGTGGGATGCAGGAGGAGGATCCAAAAACTGTGGTGTGCCACAGCCCATGAGATACTTCTCTGTGGCCTTGAATGTTTGCAGAGAACTGGGATTGACTGTATCTTCCCGTAAAATGACCAGGTTAGCTACTGTGCTAGTGTGTGAGTTGGTCCCCGCCACTACAAGCCTCTAACCTACTGCAACCCTTTCCTGGTTTTAAATTGATTTACCTGGTGCTACGAATATAACCCAAAAACTGTTCTTCATCGAAGAGATTTTGCCGAGTTATGCTATTTCATATCACACTTACAGAGTTATTTCCTTCTTCTTTCCCAATAGCTATTGGGGCTTCCAGATGTAGATGATGATGCATTTGAAGAATATAATGCAGACGTGGAAGAAGAGGAGGCAGAAGCCGATCACCAGCAAATGGGTGTCAGTCAGCAGTAATATTTGGAGGAAATTAAAATTATATTTTATCCTACCAGGTGGGGTCTTATGCTTCTGCATTAGCATTTTTTTTTTAAAGATTAGCACATCACACTGGAAAAATCTGGCTCCCAAATCCAAGGTATAAAAAGATAAGAAAAAAGAAAGCAACAGTATTTTTCAGAAGTCTGTGATGAGCTTTGCAAAGAAGTGGCCAGAATTTCACTCCTGCTTCAGTGAGGTTTCTATGGCGTTGTCTTGGTAGCATTCTGCCAATGTTAACTTAGACCTAGTTTTTTTTTTCTTGCTGACTTGTCTTTTTGGTTTTTTTTTTAATTATTATTATTATGATTATTTTTGTTTGTACAGGAGAATTAACGTTTCACTGACCTGAATGTGATTTGAATGTAGGAATTATTTGGTTGGTGTGTTAAGTACTCGCGTGCCCTTACTGAGGACCATCCATGCAGAGAATAAATGCAATCTGCACTTTCCGTTTTAGGTCTCTTTCTTTTTCAAAAAAAAAAAAAAACCACCCCAAGATTTACCAGATAATAGAGTAAATGATGAGTGTTCTAATGCAAGGTGCAATCCAATCAAAATGAAGCACTTCTGAATCCTATTAATTGCAATAGACAAGACTGAAGAAGGCAATTCTTTCATTGAGGTCAACGAGGCCCAGTGCCGACATAACGCTAGCAATTTCTCAGGCTGCTTCCACAGGGAGGATCTGTTCCACTCCAGCTCTCAAACTAGAGTGGGTTTTTTTGTTTTTTTGAGCATCCTCACACATTGTCCTCCAACATGCTCCTTCTGTTGCATTGTGTGGTTTCTGGGAGTTTTTCCTGATGTTTCCCAAGTCGGCTTTACTCCAGTCTTTCCAGAGAGATCAGAGTCTTAAGTGGTTTTGTGTATATATATATGTACAAGAAGGTTTTGCAGGGAATGGCATGTATGCTAGGCAATGTCCCCTCTAAGCTGTGGAGTCTTGTGAGCAAAAATCCTACTTTGTGAGCTACGGGCATTAAAGTTGTGAGCGAGCGATTTGGCTACTGCATAAATTAGTTTGCTCTGGAGCCCTCCTTCCCGAGCTAAGGCAAAAATCTGTGAGCCAGAGGTTTAAAAACTGTGAGCTAGCTCACACTAACTCACCCTAGAGGGAACACTGATGATAGGTAACATTAACTCACAGGTAAGTACAGGAATGGAAACCTCAGGGTACATAAAACAGGCATTCTGATGTTTCTACACTAATGCACAGAGTATGGGAAACAAGCAGAAGGAACTTGAAGTCCTAATGCAGGAAGGGGGACTATGACTTAATAGGCATTACTGAAACTTGGTGGGATAAACCTCACAATTGGAATATTAGGATGGAGGGGTACAACTTGGTGGGATAAACCTCACAATTGGAATATTAGGATGGAGGGGTACAACTTATTTAAAAGGGACAGACAAACAAGGAAGGGTGGAGGAGTTGCATTATATGTAAAGGAGGTATGTACTTGTGAGGAAATACGTGAATCTGAGCATGGAAATCCAGTTGAGAGTCTCTGGGTAAAAATAAAAGGAATAAGAAACGGTAGTGATGTTATAGTGTGAGTCTGCTATAGGCCACCAAGCCAGGCAGAGGACTTGGATGAGACACTCTTAGAACAGATTACAAAGTTCTCAAAGAACGGGACACGGTGGTCATGGGAGATTTCAGTTATCCCGATATCTGTGGGAAGTCCAACTCTGCTGAAAATGAAAGGTCCAATAAATTCCTGACTTGTCTTTCTGACAACTTCATTTTCCAGAAAGTGGAGAGGGAAACAAGAGGATCTGCTATCTTGGACTTGATTCTTACCAATAGGGAAGAACTGGCTGATGAGGTGAAAGTAGTGGGCACCCTGGGTAGTACTAGTGACCATTTACAGTCTGTGGAAGCTGAAAGCTGTACGTAGCGAGACATGTAGGCTGGACCTCAGGAAAGCAAATTTTGACAAACTTAAAGTTATGCAGGGTAGAATCCCATGGTCAGAAATACTTAAGGAGAAGGGAGTTCCAGAGGGATGGGAGTTTCTTAAAAGCAAAATACTGAAGGCACAATCACAAACAATTCCTAAGAGAAAGAAAAATGGGAGTGGCCTAAAGAAGCCAAGGTGGCTCCATAAGCAGCTTTCTAAGGACTTGAGAAATAAAAAGACTCATTTAGAAAGTGAAAGTAGGGCCTTATAACCAAGGATGGATATAAAAAATAACGGGTGCTTGTAGAGAGGAAAGCTAAACCTCAATATGAGCTAAAAACAAAAAAGGGTTCTTTTCTTATGTTCAAAGTAAGAAAAAGAGCAAGGACATGGTAGGCCCATTGCAGGGACAGGAAAGTGAAATTGTAACAGGTGATGAAGAGAGGGCAGAACTGCTCAATTCCTACTTTTCCTCAGTCTTCTCTTGGAAGGGAAACGGTGCTCAATATGGCAAAAACAGAACACGTGATGAGGGGAGTTGCAACCTAGGATTGGCATAGGGGTAGTACATAAACTCCTGGTTTCTTTAAATGAAGCTAAGTCCTCAGGGCCAGATGAACTGCATCCAAGGGTTCTAAAAGAACTCACAGATTTAATTTCTGAGCTTCTGTCCATTATTTTTGAGAATTCTTGGAGAACACGTGAGGTGCCAGAAGACTGGAGGCAGGCAAATGTTGTCCCCATCTTCAAGAAGGGGAAAAAGGAGGATCCAGGTAACTACAGACCCGTCAGCTTGACGTCTATACCTGGGAAAGTTTTAGAACAAATCAGCAAACAGACAGTCCTTGAGCATTTAGAAAGGCCGGCTGTGATTACTAAGAGCCAGCCTGGGTTTCTCAAGAACAAGTCATGTCGGACTAACCTTATCTCTCTTTTTTGAGAAAGTTACTATCTTGCTGGATCAGGGGAATGCTGTAGGTATCTTGATTTCAGTAAGGCTTTTGATAAGGTTCACATAATATTCTTGTTGACAAATTGGTAAAATGTGGTTTGGATCCTATTACTGTTAGGTGGATCTGTAACTGTTTGACAGATTGCACTCAAAGAGTGCTTATTAATGGTTTCACATCCTCTTGGAGAGTGATAAGTGGAGTGCCTCAAGGATGTGTCCTGGGACCTGTTTTGTTCAACATCTTTATCAGTGATTTGGATGAATGAATAGAGGGAATGCTTATTAAATTTGCAGAGGATACTAATTGGGAGGGGTAGCAAATACAGCAGAAGACAGTAAAGGTACAGGATGATCTTGATAGGCTGGGAAACTGGGCTAAAACAAATACAATGGATTTCAATGGGGATAAATGTAAAGTTCTGCATGTAGGTAGGAAAATCAAAAACATAATTACAGGATGGAAGAGACTTGTCTTAACAGTAGTATGTGCGAAAAGGATCTAGGCGTCTTGGTAGACCATACACTGAACATGAGTCAGCAGTGTGATGCGGTAACTAAAAAGGCAAATGCCATTTGGGCTGCATCAACAGATGTATCACATGAAGTGATGGTATCACTTTAACACTGTTCTGGTTAGACCTCACATAGAGTATTGTGTTCAGTTTTGGGCACCACAAATTAAGAAGGACATAGACAAGCTGGAACATGTGTCCAGAGGAGGGCAACAAAAATGGTGAGGGGTCTGGAGACCAAGCCCTGTGAGGAAAGGTTGAAGGAGCTGGGTATGTTTAGCCTGGAGAGGAGACAACTGAGAGGTGATATGATAACCATCTTCAAGTAGCTGAAGGGCTGTCATAGAGAGGATGGTGCAGAGTTGTTTTCTGTTGCCCCAGAAGTTCAGACCAGAACCAACAGGTTGAAATTAAATCAGAAGAGTTTTTGGCTAAACATTAGGAAGAACTGCCTGACAGAGCTGTTCCTCAGTGGAACAGGCTTCCTTGGGAGGTGGTGGGCTCTCCTTTGGAGGTTTTCAAACAGAATCTAGATGGCCATCTGACAGCAGTGTGGGAGGGCAGGAAGGGTTGCATCAGTGCTTAGTTCTTGTGACCCTTTCTTACACGCCCAGGGAAATGCTGATCGCCACTTTGGGGTCAGGAAGCAATTTTTCTCCAGGCCAGTTTGGTTGGAGATCCTGGAGGTTTTTTGTCATCTTCTGGGCATGGAGCAGGGGTCACTGGGGGTGTGGGGGGGAGGTATTTCCTGCATCTCTCCCATGTGAATCCTGTTTTCCTTTCCATTGTTTGATTTAGTAGTGATGTAATAGTAATGGCCACATTTGTGCTGGCAAACAATGAAGCTGGCAAACAATGTCCCTGGTTACCAGTAGCCATAGCCAGTGCCGGAGCAGGAGTCATGCTGCTCCATGGTAAAGGCTAACATAGGAAGGGAGAAGGAAATTTATAAGAGGGGCAGAGGCCCAACAAAGGGCGTCTCCTGAACAGCCTCCTCCTCCAGACCATCATTAGAAGAGCAGGAATTTTTTGCAGGAATGTTCAGCCTGGAGTGATGATTTAAAAGCACTTGACTTTGACTGATACGCACCCAAGCATACTCATTCCATTAGCAGTGACAGATACAGCAGAAGTTTTGCCTCAGTTGTTAGCCACCCTGAGCCTTAGGGGAGGGCGGGATATAAATTAAATTATAAATAAATAAATGTAAGTGTTTGAAAAGACTGAACAAAACTAATTGCATTGGATTTGGGGGAAATTTCATGCGACACCTTTCAGTACCAATCAAATACTATTTGAATAGTAAGAACACTCAGTATTTACGTTGCACTTTTTGTATTTATTTTACAGACACCGGGCAGAATAGATCCCTATACTGCATTTTGATTATACATGTAGCCAGTGTTCCCTCTAAGCTGAGTTAGTGTGAGCTAGCTCACAGTTTTTTAGCTTCCGGCTCACACATTTTTGTCTTAGCTCAGGAAGGATGACTCCAGAGCAAACTAATTTATGCAGGAGCCAAATTGCTCACTCACAATTTTAATGCCAGTAGCTCACAAGGTAGAATTTTTGCTCACAAGACTCCACAGTTTAGAGGGAGCATTGCATGTAACTATTTTGTTGTCAGCAAGTGTAGGATCAAATATTGTGTTAACAAAAACAGCTGAGCATGGTGGCTCAA